GCCAGTCAAGGAACGATTTTAGTCTGCTGTTTATGACGTGGAGCAGGATCTTGCTAGCGTGCGACACAAGGGCTATCGTTCGGTAGTTGCTACAATTGCGCACTGAGCCCTTTTTGTGGAGAGGCAATATAGACGAGTGCACCCAGTCTTTAGGCCAGTGTCCTGTTTGCCAGATTGCGTTGCAGATATTATGCAGGTTTGACACTCCATTTGGACCCAGGCCTTTCAATACTTCTGCTGTGATTTGGTCAGGACCTGGAGCTTTGTCTCTCTTGAGTTTCCTAATAGCTTCTTCTATTTCAGAGCGAAGTATACCTGGTTCTGGGTCTTTTACGGGATCATGGATGATACCACAACTAGCGTCCTCGTCCTGATATAGTTCTTCACAGTACTCCCTCCATCTTTCTGTGACTTTTGCAATATCGTGGATGGGATTGCCTTCTCTGTCGTCTATCACCCATGAGGATGGTTTGAACTTACGGGTTATTTGTTTAATTTTTCTGAAGAGATCGCCGGTCTGATATTGATCCGCATGGTGTTCTATTTCGGTGCATATGTTCTCGAGGTAGTAATTTTTGTCTCTTCTACATTGTCGTTGGATTAGTTTGGAGAGCGTAGTATACTCGTCCACATTATCGACCGATCTCACGCCTTTCTTCAACTCTTTCCGCTTTCCTATATTAATCCATGTTTCATCTGAAATCCAGTCTTTCCTTGGCTGTGACTTTATATTCATAGATTCCAGGACCTTTACGATCTTAGATTTAAATGACTCCCATTGTGCCTCTGAACTTGTATTCTTTATTTCAGTGGGGGTAAGTTCTGGTTCGGTTTTATTCTGGAAATATTCATATTCAGGCTGAGCTAGTCTTCGCGTCGGTTTTGAGTTTTTGTGACAGGATTTTAGCCGCAAGCGAATATCTGCAACTAGTAGTTGGTGGTCAGATCCACAGTCTGCACCCGGGAAAGTTCTGGTATTTGTGACTGATGATTTCCACCTTTTGCCTATGGTAATATAGTCAATTTGGTTTCGGAACCGGTCCCCGGGGGATATCCAGGTATACAGTCTACGCTTGTGGTGCTTAAAGAAGGTATTCATTATTGCTAGCTCTTGACTGACACAGAAATCTATTAATTTCTCGCCCCGTTCGTTCCTTGTTCCTAACCCATATTTACCAATTATATGACGGATGTGGTCATCCTGTTCTGTGCTTCCAACCTTTGCATTCCAGTCACCCTGAATTATTGTCATTTCGCGCTTGGAGATACTTTCTATTGTTGTTTGTAGCATTCCATAAAATTCATCGATGTCATCTTGTGATGATTGGGCAGTTGGCGAATAGACTTGAATGATGTTAAGCGGAATGGGGGTGCTATCGATTCTTATGGTCATGATCCTGTCATTGATTGTATTGTAGCCTGTAATGTGAGGGGCAAGTTTCCGAGACATAATGACTCCCACGCCGTTCTTACTCTCAGTTTCGTGTCCAGAGAAAAAGACCATGTTTCCTGCAGGTGTCTTGAAATGGCCTCTTCCTTTTTTGTGGGTCTCACATAGTCCCATTATAAGAAGTTGGTATTCCCTCATCTCTTTCTCAATGACTTCGAGTTTCCCAGGCTTCAGGATGCCTCTAACGTTCCATGTGCCGATTTTGTGTTTGTGACGTATGGAAGGTTTTTTGTTGTCTTCAATTCAAGACCAAAATTAGCCAAATCCAGCCGTTCTCGAGTTTTAAAGTTTGTAGTCAAATTGAGAAAAGGTTAATATTCTTTATCTTTAATATTACGAGTATTTGTCTATAGTGTATTCTTGGCGAAATCTGTGACTATAGAAATATAATTAATCTTTGACAATAGAACCATAATAATGTCCAAACTTATAATTTTAATTAATTATAGTAGAATTTCGACTACTGCGGGAACACTAGTATTTGTTAACTTGCAGGACATTTGCTTGCCAACCTTTGTTATATTATAGCCTGGCCTTAATCAAATTAGCTAATTAAGTTTCTAAACAATTCATTGTTGACGATCAACTTTGTTCATTGTTGTATAAGCCACTTGCCTGCATTGAATCAAAGCTAAGTTGAGTTTCTATTATAGTCCGACATGTTCGCAGTATGTTTTAACGGTTACTAAGCAAAGTCTGCTGTTTAATTCTGATATGATATTAATGAAGAACCGTATTCGAAGAATTAGATATTTTAATAATGTTTTTATCTATAGAAGTGATTTAAAAAATCAGCAGGCGCATGTTTCTGACCTCAAATAACGCTGTGGTAAGGAACGTCTGCCATCTCCCTTCCATTTATTTGTGGGTACATGAATTATGAATTGACTTAAACAACAATACTATTTTGTGAAGCTTAGAAATTGAATTTCTCAATTTGAATTACTCCCACGATTACTATTATCCAGTCAACAGTACATACATAATTTAAGCCTGTAATTGTCAATATTTTCGGGATATTAAAGTAAGGTTTTACATTTTGAAAAATTGTGTGGCTGTTCTTTTGTTAAAAAAAATGTCTTTGTCGGATTTTTAAGAGAAAACAAAGCTATGGCAACAAAAATCACACGAACGTAATCTCAGAGATTATCACACTAATACCCCTGATAATATATTGAAACAATAAATGCGAGATTAACCCATAAAAGTAGCTTTAATTATGTCTAAGAAAATACTAAGAAAATACTACAATTACCCATGTTAGGCGTCACAGTATTTAAATTATATGACTTGTAGTAGTTAGTCTTATCTTTATTCTACTAGTTACTAGTACAATACTTATTTATTTGTAACAATTACATGGAACATGAAATTCTACTTTAATTTTCGGCTCCTTTTTCATTTTCCATTCTCGTGCCCCAAATGTCTGACCCCAGAATATAATTTAATAAAAGTAATTCGGAATGAACAATTAATAATTCTCGCTTCGTAATAATTAAGTAATATCGTAGCTGTTATTGTTATAATTCGTTAGCAACAGTAGCTTTCATAGCGACAAATTCTTTGAAAACGAAAAGGAAAACTTGTCTTAATTAATGAAAACAAAACAATTACGGCTTAAAGTTATAGCCTCAAAAAAACGTTAAAGAGCTACTTAATTTTTCCGTGAATCACGTTAAATTAATAACAATTTTGTGGAATATTTTCTTCGACGCCGAAGGTCTAAAGACTTTTCGTTTGTCACGCTTCGTTTGTTACGCTACAAGCGTAGCGAAAATATTTTTTAATTGTGATACTCAGGAAAGAGTAATTATAGATATAGACGCTTGAAAGGCAAACGTGACTAAGCGACAATAACTGCTTTGTACATAAATGATAGGTAATAACCATATTCGATGCGCAAAAAATATATATTTCTAGGTCTATTAAAATCATTTCAATCCTACAGCTAGATTCGTTAAAATAGAATTTATTTCAGGTATTTCAAATTTAAATTAGTCTACTGTAAAGTTCACGCATTGTCGCTTTGTCACGTTTGCCTTTCAAGCGTCGATATCAGGTACCTATAGAACGCCTATGATATTATACTCTCTGGTATAGGTAAAGTGCGTTTTATCTTGGGTTTTTTTTTCTTTAAAATGGACTTCAAAAAATAGACATGCTTTAACAAAAACCGACTTCAAATCGAAAAAAAAAAGATATTCCGAAACAAATTCATAATATACACCACAAACAATAATCATCGAAATCGGTTGGCGTGTTATTGAGTTATTGAGTTACTCATCTATTTGTCGCGCACGTCTTCAATGCACATTTAAGACTTATATGTTTTTCTCATGGATACCATTATCAGAACTGGACTAAATTGAAATGGGACCACTCTGGAAGAGTCAGCTTTCTAATAAAAAAGAATCATCAAAATCGATTCATCCATTCAAAAGTTATGAGGTAACGAAAAAAAAAACATATGGTCGAATTGAGATCCTCCTCCTTTTTTGAAGTCGGTTAAAAAAAACCCCATCTTTCAAATTTTTCAATTCAAGAGCTTTTTTCTTTGTTTTTATTTGTAAATGAACAAGAGAACCTTTTCTATATTTTTTTTTATTGCTTAGATGGATGGACGAGCTCACAGCCCACCTGATGTTAAATGGTTACTGGAGCCCATAGACATCTACAACGTAAACGCGCCACCCACCTTGAGATATTAGTTCTAAGGTCTCAAGTACAGTTACAACGGCTACCCCACCCTTCGAACCGAAACGCATTACTGCTTCACGACGGAAATAGGCGGGGTGGTGGTATTTTTTGTTTTATTGCCTTTGTAAGCAGACGAGCATACGGCACTCCTGATGGTGATTGGTTACCGTCGTTTATGGACGTCAGCAATGCGAAGGATAGAGCCAAGTCTCTGCCTACCGTTAGCGTAAGTGGACCGATTTTGGTGATTCTTTTTTTTATTTGAAAGCTGGTGCTTCTCATCATTAAATTTAAATTCATCATTATCTGACCACTACTTTTTGAGCTATCGATAATAATTCATATTTAATTAACTTGGACTACTACATATATGACATCTAAATATAATTTTGGTCTAGTTCACTGGTGGAAAGACCTCTTGTGAATCCGCATGGGTAGGTACCAGCACCCTGCCTATTTTTGCCGTGAAACAGTAATGCGTTTCGATTTGCTGCATAGCAACAAAAAAAAGCTGTTTTCTGTTTTGTTAAAATTTTGAATTAGTAATTATCCATTAGATATCTTATTAAAATCGTAACCTTTTATTCCCTAACTGTTTAATAAGTGCCTATTATTCCCGTAAAGCAGTTGTGTATACGTTCCGGTTTAAGAAGTGGTAAGACCATTGAAAAAAATTTGCAATAATAATTGTACTCTACAATTAAAACTCCGCTCCTATATCTCACTCCTTGGTAAATGGTGGCGTTTACGTAGTAACGTTACTGGGTTACAATAATCATTTACTCATAGGTAAAAAAATGTTCAAATTTATTTGCTGCAGTAAAAAAGATATCCAGCGAAAAACGATACTTACGCCTCCGATATTAAGGCCCTCAATTTGCAGAACACGAGGCCCAGGCTGTAAGGGTATTGGTGCCAATACACTGACAAGTCGTTCGGGAGACCTGGAACAAAATTTTTAAATACAAAACTTTCCGAATTTAGAATAATTCAAAAATTTATTATTGCGAGCCTCCTTTTCGAAATTTAAAATATATTTTAAAAATGTATGTATATGTTTATATTAATAAATATAAATAACACTAAAATAGATAGATTAAAATTTAGTATTTGCTTCGGTGTTCATGATTCGTAGATAAAATTAAAATTAATTTTACGGTTTTTAATCTCGCATTTTTTTTATACTCATTAACTACATTACGGACGACTAAAATTTAATTAAAACAAAACTAAATCCGAAAATGTGCAGCTAGAGACTTAAATATTAAATGAAAGACCCCGAAAACACATTTCTTTGTAAGACAAAGTTCACAATAATAACATTTTATAAGAAGACATTTTAAATTCTCAAACGAGCTGACTAATGAAATTGTTTTACAAAACATCGATCTTTCCCATGGCTTTATAAAAAATATTTTCTCAAAGATTCTCAACTTTCTCAAATGAAATATTGATAATTATTGATCTTTCTTAAATGAAACGATTTTTTCCCCTACTTAATCGCCGGTAGCCTAAGGGGCTATTACATTTGCTCACGGACCGGTGGGTGTGCTCACAGGCTCAACCTGAGAGACTTTACTAACATTGGCCATAGCAATGACAGTGCTTCACTGAATCTACCACTGGATCGCAATCGCGACCTGCTGAAAAGATCTGGCGAGAAACTCAGTCGGCTGTTTCTATGTACCTACTAGTTCGCAGGAGAGGACAGCGACTGGTGCTTGAAGAGCTTAAAAGCACCAAACTAAAACAACAATTTGTCCTTGTTAAGAGAAAACTGATTAATTCATAATAAACGAGTTTACTATTAAGCACTATTTCCATTACCAACTCAAGTTCGTAAAATGGATTGTACCGAATTTCAAATTAAAACATTAAATCGAAATTAATGAAAATTCTATTGAAAGATTGCATTACAATCATCCGTGAACGTTTCTTAATGTAGAGTGATGCTAAAACAAAATCATAAGCAGAACTAAAATGTAAAAACTCTCTCTGGCTTCGTCATTTAGTTTTAATAGAAATTAATGCACTCAAGTCGTAAGCGTTATTGATTTTACAAAAACTGACTCCGTGAATATGATTGTTTTGTTTCTCCAAAGCCATTTTTTGCTAGTCGTCACTAAAATTATAGTTTTCGTGGTTCTCTTGTGTAGTCGGTAATGTATGCGGAAGCGTGATTTAAATATAAAACAGCTGCAGAAGAGGTGAATCATTATCGAATACATAAATTCGTTAGTAAAGTCTGCGACTGATTGCACAAAGCTCGTTCGTTATTGAAAAATTTCAAAGCAATTACTTTTATTGTAACTGAAATCTGAATTGACCCTTCATACTACTTTTGTGGAGAAAGACAGAAAAGCCAAAAAAAAATGTAGACGCTCTGGACTCAGGTTGTTAGTGTAGACATAGACGAAAAAATAATAGGAACAAAAAGTGAATGTCTACGGATTGTTTTTTTTTTTGGTCAGGAGGAAATCGCCGGACTTCCGCCCTCCCCTGGGGATGGAGGGCGGGGCATGTCGAAGTCGAACTGACTAAAACCTCCTGTCACTCAACAACCCGCGTCCGAACCTCGCATGAGACAGAACCCATGAAAAGGCAAAGGGGGGAGAGTGAAGCGTTTAGTGTGGAGCACATCTCTCCCATCACCCTCCCCCTCGAGACGCCGGACCGGCGGTTGTCGGCGCCACGACCACCAGCCGTCTCGGTCGGCAGGCTATCCGGAGCCCGCAACACTCGGCAACGACAAGTCATTTCCTATTTTTGCGACGAGGACACGGTGCCACCCCTCCCGTGCGGGGCAACGAGCGTGTGCTCTGCCGTGTCCAAGTCGCAACCACAATGGTGGCACTCTGCCGTCGGCTCGGCTCCGATACGGTGCAGGAACTCACCGAAGTAAAAGTGAGGCGTCCTCTGTCACGATTCACCCAGTTCACAAGGACTGGGCGAATCGCCTCGACGGTCCTACGACCAGCCGAAGGATCAGCCAGCCGCCTGGATCATGACTCCAGCACGGACCGCCGAGATTGAGCCCTCCGCGCTCTGACCACACTGGGGCTGGGACGCGCCACGCCCCGGGCATGAAGGTCAGCCCGCCACTGATAGTCAGCGGCGAGCGCCTCCTCCTCCAGAACCCAAGGCGGTGTCTCAGCCAGTACACACGCCGCCTCGAGAGAGATGGTGCGATAACCACGAATGACCCTGACCGCGATGGTGCGTAGCGGCCGCTGTAGCAACTTCGCTACCCCCACGGCCAGGGATTGGCCCCACACGGGCGCCCCGTATAGGGCCATTGACCGCACCACCCCTATATAGAGACGGCACGTCACTTGGTCAGGTCCCCCGACGTTGAAGCCGGCTTAACGCGCCGGCCACCCCCAACAAACGAGGGACCAGGATCTGAAAGTGAGCACGGAAGGTCCAACGACTGTCCAGAATGAGGCCGAGGTACTTCAACTGCACCCCGACCCCAATACGGACGCCTCCAACCACGACATGGGCATCGACAGGTGGCACTCTCCGGGGCCTGTGGAACCACATGGCCTCGGATTTACTGAGTGCCACGTCGAGACCCAATCTCCTAATTTTGCCGACGACATACGCCACCCCAGCGGTAGCAAGACGGGCAGTCTCAGTAAAACTCCCTCCCCAGGCCACGACCAACGTATCGTCTGCGTAGCATATTACGCTTAGACCCGGGAGGAGGGCGAATGTCTACGGATAGCATTTTTAATTTTCAGCTCTAACTGGGCTTGCTCAAGACTAACCTGATATTAACTAAGTGAAATTGTCTTGCCCCTATCTAATCGCTAGTAACCTAAGAGGCTATTCTAGTTACTCACGCACTGATAGGTGAGCTCACGAGCTGAACCTGAAAGAGTTTACTAGCACTGACCCTAAGACAAGTAGTGCTTCGCTGAGTCTACTACCGAACCGCGTGAAATTGTAAAGAGCATTTTTTTTTTTTTTTTTTATTTCTTAGATGGTTGGACGAGCTCTCAGCCCACCTGGTGTTAAGTGGTTACTGGAGCCCATAGACATCTACAACGTAAATGCGCCACCCACCTTGAGATATAAGTTGTAAGGTCTCAGTATAGTTACAACGGCTGCCCCACCCTTCAAACCGAAACGCATTACTGCTTCACGGCAGAAATAGGCAGGGCGGTGGTACCTACCCGCGCGGACTCACAACAGGTCCTACCACCAGTAATTACGCAAATTATAATTTTGCGGGTTTCACTTTTATTACACGATGTTATTCCTTCACCGTGGAAGTCAATCGTGAACATTTGTTGAGTACGTATTTCAATAGAAAAATTGGTACCCGCCTGCGGGATTCGAACACCGGTGCATCGCTTCAACACGAATGCACTGGACGTCTTATCTTTTAGGCCACGACGACTTCGAGCATGCGGCCACTCAACCAGTGATGCTAGGGCAAAATATCAATTGTTTTGAATAACAATTATTCCATATTTCAAACCAGAACGCAGGACTGCTTCACGCCAGAAATAAACATGATGTTAGTACCTACTTCACGAATTCACGGTAGACCTTCACCACCAGTTAATAATATGAACAGATAGAAGATTTTTACTGGTAGGACATCTTGTGAGCCCGCACGGGTAGGTACCACCACCCCACCTATTTCTACCGTGAGGCAGTAATACTTTTCGGTTTGAAGGATGGGGCGGCCATTGTGCTATAAAAACTGACACATTAGAACTCATGTCTTGAGGTCAGTGGCGGCATTTACGTTGTAGATGTCTATGGGCTCCGGTTACACTTGTGTTGCATCAAGTGGATCGTTAGCTCGTCCACCCATTAAAGCAATAAAAAGAAAAAAAAAAACATAATGTTTAATATATATCCATATCTTAATTGGCTTAAAATAATATCTGGATACATACACAATAACTTCCGATGGATACACGATAAAACTCATAAAAGAACAAAAATCTTTACAGAGATCTAGAAATTACAAAAGTTAAGTGGTTACCGGAGCCCATAGACATCTACCACATAAATACGCCACCCACCTTGAGATATAAGTTCTAAGGTCTCAGTATAGTTACAACAGCTACCCCGCCCTTCAAACCGAAACGCATTACTGCTTCACGGCAGAAATAGGTAGGGTGGTGGTACCTACCCGTGCGGACTCACAAAAGGTCCTACCACCAGTAATAAGTTTTATATGTGTTCCTTAAAAGATATGTGAAAAGAGCCCTTAGCTATAGTCACTAATATCTGGTATTGCTGATGACGCACGATCGACAGTAATCAATCAACATCAGGCAGACGGCGTGCTATTCGGGCTTGGAAGATGAAAATGACCGTATCGTAACCACCCACAAATCTAGCCTTCGATAATCCCTAAAGACTGACTGCTGTGTGAGAGATCTTCGTCAAAACTTAAGAAAGATCATAAATCTGTCACTTTTTCTGAGCGAGTGTGCACAATGTGACCTTCGCTACAATTAACTGAAGCATTTTAAATATGGTTCTGAATGGATATTTTGAATTCACAACTGAATGAACCCCAATGATTTTATACGGTCTTCGTTTTTTTAATTATGAATATAACTTTTTGACAGTCTTCTTACTTACAAAGCTCCTATAGCTTATTATGAATAAGACCGAGAATTTACAAAATAATATCTAAGGCACGTTCCAATTGTACTACCTAGGTGGAAATTAAGCTCATTAGTGACGAAAACGTGATCACGATCAACTCCCGGGAAGGAATGATATCGTACAATTAAATTAAACACGCCCGAATATTTAAATTTACATAATTAGGGCGTTGCAGGTCTGGTATTTTTTGGATCCGCGAGTAATTTCCTTCCTGTTCATTTCTGACTTGCTTACAATTATTTAATCCGGTGTCGCCACGGAATAGATAAATAACCTTATTTATCTATTCCGTGGGTGTCGCCCTTTCAAGTCGTGCTGTAATAGAATTTTCTTTAGTTTTCGATTGTCATAGATACAATTAAAACTGCTATTTACGGTTTCGTCTTGCTTTTTAGTCATTATTTTATTTACTATATTTAAAATTGTTAACATTTTACATACCTACACTGTACAAAAATAATATAATATAATGATAATAAAAAACACGAGATTAAACTCTAAAAATCGTTTATAGTTGTGGCGTTCTGAAATGCATGTCACATGAATCTAATAGTTATTTTGATAGCGTAGGCTTTTTTCTAATTACTCAAATAGATACTTACTAGGTAAGATATACGCGGGATATTCTGATATTTTTGAAGCATTTAAAGAACAATGGGGCAGATCAGACCAATGAAACTCGGATACGCCCTTATGAATTGATGCAAATAATTCTATAAATGAATTCAGTAGTCGAGATTTTAAACAAAATAGTAATAAAGTGGTATACAGAATACAATAAAATCTTTTACTTTACACCAAAAATGAAAAAGTTAAAAAATAACAAAACTAAAATAAAAATGTCTTCAATGTGCATCTAATCTCATCATATAAAGCAGCCTCTCGAATCCTCTGCACAACTATTGGCTCTCTCATCTCATAATTATACATTTACGTGACTTAAATAATTTAATTTTTTCAAACTTAATTTATGACATTTTTTCATGAAAGGAGCTTTACAAGGAATCCCTAGTGGCCAGCAGCATAGCAATAGTCCATGAGCAACAAAAACCACATGTAGCTCACCTGGGGTGGGCCCGTCTTACTACAAGCTCCCAAAAACTCATAGCATTCATTTTTCTCTCTTCTTCATTGCTCCCTCACTGCTTAGGACGAGCGACCACATGTGACTTTCCTCCATAGGTTTCGGTCATGGGTGGCATGGTCCGCATGGTCTAGACTACCACCAACCGCTTTCTTAACTAGATCTGATCATCTGACTGGTGTTCTGTCCACGGCGCGCTTGCTTTCTATGCGACCCAAAATTATGAGCTTCTCTAATTCATGTCTGGGAGACCGCATGATGTTTTCGAAGAAGCTCACAAGACGATCTTGGCAGATGGCAGAGAGAGCCATTCATCGCATTATTAAAAACTACTAGTAGTCCGCAGGAAGTCAAAATTAGACTATAATTAATTGAAATTATAAGTTTGTACACTATTATGATTATATTGCCAAAGTTTATTATACTTCTATAATCACAGATTTCGCCAAGACTACACACTTTAGACAAATATTAATAAAGACAAACAATATTTAATCTATTCTCAATTTGACCACAGACTTTAAACAATAAGAAACGTTTGACAATAAACAAATAGTATGCATGCGTGTGTGTGTCAAATACATGGCAGTTCGTGTAATGTTTTTTTTTTATTTATTTTTTAATGTATTTTTTATGCATAATTTAAAAAAAAATATTCTGCACTCCTCTACTAAATTTCATATTCGTCCGTCCGCGCAATTTTCGTAAAAAGGGGTACAAAGTTTTTACTTTCTCACGTATTAATATAAAGATACTCACCGAACATTAACAACAGCAGGTCACTAATCGCCAAACTGAACAAGTAGTAATTAGTTGCCGTATGCAGCCCTGGATGTTTAACTATGACCACACAAACACACACGTTTCCGATCACGCCAGTAAGGAAAATCACCACTAATACAATGCTAATAGGGATTATTTCCCTGAGAGGCAGCCTCCTGGAGCCCATTAGCCACCATAGCATTTCTTCTTCAGTGCAATCGAAACGTGAAAGATTGTTGCACCGTTCGAAAAACTCATCATAAGTCTCGTTTCCACGAAGGAACGAACCAGTATCCATTTTTGATAAAAATAATAATTATTCCGCGTCCAGATAAACAACTGTTTGAACGAATATTTAAAAGTTTAAAACAAATATCTAGAATGTTTTAAAAAATTATTTTACGTTTTGGGTATGTATTTTTTTTGAGAAAAAGAGATTATAAGCATTCTATAGTTTTACATAGAAAAAGCCGTTACGTATTTTTTACGTAGATAAAGTTGTCCGCACGACGGAGACATGTCGTAACGGGGATCTTTATCAACGCGAACTGACGCACGGCGACTCCGTCACATCTCGTACACTTCATTCGACAAAATTTAATACAGATTCGCCACTGTATAGTAGTATTTCGGACAATCTGGACAATCACAATACTCAGCGTAGTTTGTACATGTTATAAATGGTGAGTTATGTAAAAGAATGTATTAAGCCAATCAGCGATTGTAATGACTATGTACCTGATAGAGGAATGGCTGGCTTCAAGTGTTCGCCATTTCGCTTCGGAATCCTACACGACTCTCAGGACTATCCTTTTTTTTTCCTACCTAAGCTGATGGTCTTGAGAGACTATTTCAGCGTAGCCTTAACTAGTAGGTGAACTCACGGGGCTCAAACCTGACGACGTTGCTAACGCTAACCCTAGCAAGAGCAGTGCTTCGCAGAATCTACCACCGGATCGGAAACGCGACCCACTGAGAATATCTGTGGGTTAATTTACTCGCCGAACCCTTCGTGAACAGAAAGTGGACTATGCGATCAAATTACCTGTTAAAGTAATTTGAATTCAAATTGTCCGCCGAATTATTAAGTTTTTGAAGATAACAATGGTCTGTCCATCTATTCTACTCTATCGAATTGCAATTCCAATGTCACTTCTCAATGCGAGCAGCATTCTAAAGGAGCTCGTAACTCTATTAAAAACGTGACTGGTAAATCTATAGACCTACGTTTGCGATAATGCGATTTATCATCATACATATTGATCTAGGGAAATATGTAGCAATCATTACGTCATACATAACTGAAAGCATGTATCTTGATGTAACATGAGTAAAATTTGCAAGACTTTTTACCTATAAAGTCAGAATTCATATTCAAAGGCCCCAAATTAGCATTTTCTCTAGAGGCATGGGTACCTACAAAAACACACACAAACGAGATCAAAACAAATACACGCTAACCCCGAATACCAAGTAACTTTGGAAAACTAACCTTAAGCTTTTAATAAAGTGATCAAGGTCAAAAGACAAAATTTATTGATAGCTATCATTGCTAGATACTACGACATCTCTAATCCTTCTAACCCTTTTCAACGCTGTAGCGGCCTTTCTCTAGTGCTTGGAAAAAAATCTAAATCGGCGTGGCCTCACCCCAAAAGTGAGCTGCGGGCGCGGAAGGCCCATTCATGGCGGTCCGTGCTCAAGTCGTGGTCGAGGCGGTTGGCCAACCCCACGTAGAGTCTATAGACCGTTGATGCGGTTTACCCGGTCTTTGATGACTGGGTGAATTGTGGCGGAGGACGATTCACCTTTCATCTGGGGCAGGTGCTGACCAGGCACGGATGCTTCGGGAAGTGCCTGCGCCGAATAGGAGCTGAGCCGACGACGAGGTGCCACCATTGCGGTCACGACCTGGACACGTGGAGCGTGTACTCGCTGTCGCAAAGATAGGACCGGACTTGTCGCTGCCTGACGTCATAGCGTCGATGCGGCGACGAGTCCTAGAAAGCTATGCTCGACTTTTGCGAGGGCACCATCTCGCCGAAGGAGATGGCGCGGCGGGGCGAGTGAGGCAGAGCTCTCCTCACTACGCAGAAATCCACCGCCGCCAAGCAGGAGGTCGGGACCGGGGTCCCATCCGTGACCCGGCCCCCTAAGAGCTTCGGGTTCCACCTGCTTTGTGCGGGGAAAGACCCAGGCATGGAGTGGCGTACACGGCACACTCGCCCGTAATAGGAAGCCGGGTGATGGCAGGCCGCGTTCCCCCAACCGCTCCGGGGGAAGGTGGAGCGTGGCGCCATTAAGACGGGCTCTCAACCGGTAACCAAGGGAACCGGTGGTCGTTTCGCAGGCGGCCATCAGACGGGAACGGATGCAATATGCTCTGCGTCAACCCTGTCCCGTCGTCTGAGTGGCCCTGACTGGGTTCCAGCCGGGTCCGGAGTCGGGCGTCGGCTGTGAGCGCAGGAGTTTTTGGTGATGTTCAACTTCCACATCCCACATACTCCCAATTCAAATAGCCCCAAATCAAAAATCCTCCCAATCCGAATTCTCCTGTTCAATAAAGTCGTCGCGGCCTAAAGGATAAAATGGTTATAGTCGCATTAATGCGACAATGCCTGCGTCCAAATCCTATAAGCAGGTATGTACGTATTTTTATAAACAAATACATACGTTTTTAACACGGTTAAACAATTTCGCTGATGGCAACATTGTGTAACAAACATTAAACGATCAATGGTTTGCTACCGCACACAATAGTGCTTGGGTACCATCGCTAGCGCTATTCTTTAATTTCCTTAACACATTCAAGCCCATAAAAAAACCGACTTATAAGCATTTCGGTCAAAATTAATTACAATGAATGAAGTCGTCGTGGCCTAAAGGATAAGACGTCCGGTGCATTCGTATCGAGCGATGCACCGGTGTTCGAATCCCGCAGGCGGGTACCAATTTTTCTAATGAAATACGAGGGCTGCACTAAAAGTATCGGGAATGGAATATTTCCACTGTTCCTGTCATATTAAAATCTTTTTAATTGAAAACTCCTTGGTTTTAAAAATCGAATACCATTTATTTATTTAAAAAAAGATTCTCGGTCTTGTCACGAGGTTTTGTCAAACTTGTTTAGTCGTTGAGAAAATGGAATTGACTCGAGAATATTCAAGAGCGATGATTTATTATGACTTTCGAAGTGGTTTAACACAAAAACAGTGTGTTGACCGGATGATTTCTGCATTTGGTGATGAAGCCCTATCCAAAACCACAATTTATCGCTGGTTTGCTGAGTTTCAACGTGGAAGTGTCAAGCTCAGTGATGATCCCCGTCAAGGTCGTCCAAAAACTGCAGTCACCCAAGAAAACGTTGATGCTGTGCGTAAGCTGATTGAGGAAGATCGACATGTGACATACCGCGAAATTCAGGCAACTTTAGACATTGGCATGAGTCAAATACAAATAATCTTGCATGAACAATTAGGTGTAAAAAAATTGTTTTCCCGATGGATACCGCATTCGCTCTGTGAAGAGCAAAAAGCGGCTCGCGTTACTTGGTGCGTCAGAACTCTCGNGCGTGACGTGTGCGAGCCCACCTTGAGCGCGGCGCCGCCGGAGAGCGTGCCGGCGCGGGTGTAGTGCGTGCGCGTGACGTGTGCGAGCCCACCTTGAGCGCGGCGCCGGAGAGCGTGCCGGCGCGGGTGTAGTGCGTGCGCGTGACGTGTGCGAGCCCACCTTGAGCGCGGCGCCGCCGGAGAGCGTGCCGGCGCGGGTGTAGTGCGTGACGTGTGCGAGCCCACCTTGAGCGCGGCGCCGCCGGAGAGCGTGCCGGAGGGGTCGAACACGTCGCCGTCGAGCGTGACGCAGCGGCGGCGCACGGCGCGGTGGAAGGTGACGCGCTTGGCGGTGTCGAGGTCGCGGCACACGAGCGTGGAGCCGAACACCCACGCCATGGCGGGGCGCAGGCGGCTGTCGAACGATATCAGGTCCAAGGCCAGCTGCACGTTCTCCGGACCTCCACCCTACAATCAAAATAAAAAACTTACCACAACATACATTACTTCAATAGTGCACTACTTTATACTAACAAATTTTTTTTACTCAAAACTAAATATAGATTCTAGTTTATATGTACGTGACTTACTTTAATTAACTGTGGTTTTTACAAGTGTGAAAAGATTTGTATGAATGGGGTATTCTTAAAATCCTTAAATGATTCCAAATAGCACAGTTTTGATTGACTTTATCCATTTTGGCCGGACAATCGCGTTTTTATTAATATTATTCAAGTACATAGTTACTCAGTACGTACGGACACAGCATGGTCCTTCATTGGAAAAAAAGGCCTACGTACAATCTCCTGCGCTATCTGCACGGTTCTCTTGTCGATGACTTGTCCGGAGATCTTGTTGAGCGGTATGATGGTAGTTCTGGTCTGCAGGTTGCCCTGCTGCAGCAGCAGCTTGCTCGTGACCTCGGTGTCCACCACTACATTGTATAACTGAAACAATCACATCAGCACTAATTAATACAAATATCGAATGTTTAACAGTCAGAGAGGTAGTTTACTTCCACTGTATTTTACACCATCGAAACAATTTTTTTCAGTTTCTATTGACTGATAGATATTTGTTGTTTATTTGTTTTAACATACAACAACACACTGATTGTCTCTGATGGTGTTTATTAGCGTTTAATAGAAACTGGGATACGTCATTTCTCATTAAGAGGACAGAGACACTTAAGACCCAGCGCGAGCGGTATAAGGCGGGCTCACCCGTCCTCCGGCCGCCGTCTCCAGGGCGGTGCAGTACACCGGGTCACACACGTCGATCAGCTTGCAGACGGTACCTGCAATCATTGCAACATTTTAATCGCCATTGCGGTCACCTTGTAGATTTTGAATCATCAAAAATTAAAGATCATATTAAACAATTAACATAAAGTAGAAATGTGAGCTAGACATGTAGTCGAACCTGCGACCCTGGCGCGGTCGAAGTGCGGGTCGGGGGGGGAGTACCGGAAGTGGCACCGCTGCAGCGCCGCCGCCAGCGCGTCCCGCCGGTCCCGCGCCCCCCGCGCCGCCCCCTGCGCGCCCCGCACCGCCGCCCCCAGTGACGTCACGCGGGACTCGTCGTGCGCCAGGCCCGCCAGCTCGCGCTGCAACCGACCCACGCTACAGACGGCTCTAACCGCGACACGGAGCCCGGCGGCCCCACCCACCCACCTCCAGCTGCTCGACCTGCGCCTGCTGCCGCCGGATACTCTCCTGGTCCGCGTCGTACTGTTTGCTGCTGGTAGTGAACTCCTTCTCCAAAGTTTTCAATCTCTCCTCGGCGTGCTTCTTGTCCATCATGGCCGAGGTGATGCGAGTGGACGCCTCCGACGCCTGTTGTTTGGCAGCTACAAAGAGCAACCACAATAAGCATGAAAATAGTCAGTGTTATTGTTAGTGGTTAGTGGTGTGACATGTGCGCTGTACTCTCTGTGTATCCGTAGTGGAATATTGGGTCAATAATGGAGTATTGGGGAGACACGATCAACAGTGCACTATCTGATATTAAGGAACGAAAATTTTTGAATTGTTTGTTGATGATATATACGATATTAGTCTTTTATCTGTGACACCTGTAGCCACTATCAGCTTACGACAAGTGAGGTGAGATAAATTTCTACTAGTCTGTCATAACGTCAAGACGCACCCATTAGCTGGTCCTGCAGCGATTCAGAAGCATCTTCCTTCCCGGTGCTCACGGCCAAGAACTTCTGTTGTGCTTCCGCTAAAGCTTTCTCACTGGTCTCACTAGATGTGCGAAGGTTCTCGAATGTTGACGAGACCTTTCGTAAAATAGTAATAGTTAAATAAAACATTTTCAGTTTCTTGAATACTTATGTCTATCGAGGCAGGGATCCTACATACCGGGTGTATCAAACCATATCCGATTCCGATACAGCAATAAATTACGAAGTCAAGAGTAACGTAAACAAAGCATAAATACTTTTTGTCAAGATTTATCAAGATTATATTTTGTGAGTACACATAAGACCAAGAAAAGACAGCCAGTGCTTACCGGGTGTGAGCTAGTACTGCGAACCTGAAGAGTTCAGTGCAGAGGCCATGTTTTCTTCGTAATGCTGTGCTACAGTTACAATATCGGTCATTCATTGGTTATTAAACAGATGTCTTGTAGTTCTTCACGCATGTACAGGTCCGTGCCATTATAAGGAGTGTCTTTAGGACATAATTTAGTTCACATATAAAACAAGTACATATTATGGAGAGCAGGTAAAATAAATGTTTTCTTTGTTTGCATTGAGGTGTGTTGAGCTTGAGCATCACAAATATTGTTTCCACAACCACATGCATGAATAAATTAATAAAAGAAAGAGTCACCGGAAACAATTAACCAACCGTTTGACTAAAACGATTCACTCTAATTTATCTTTGTAATTGGAATGTTTCCATCCAAAGACAGTTTACTTTCAAGAAGTGTCAAGTGTATCCTGCTGGGACCGCACCTCATTAAGAATCTGTTGCTTTGATGTGAGAGCCTGCTCGTCCTCAGCCAGTGCCTTTTCGAGTAGTTTGACTCTCTTCTCGTGTCCGCTCAGGGCTTCTTTGCTGCCTTTATATTGTGAACTTGCTGCTGCTTCAACCTTCTCCAAGTTTTGAAGTTCTACTTCCAAATCCTTGAGGACATTCCCACTCTCCTGATACAATAATTAAATTATTAGTTTTACATATAAAAAGTCTAAACTTTATCAGCTAACTACATCATCCGATGAATAATAACGACACGAATTGATAGCAGATTCCTTAAATTATGGATTAAACGCACTCATGGTTGCCTAATGCACAATGGATATCAGTTCCAATAACCATTACTATGTGAATTCTGCTCCAGATCCAGACATAAAGTGCAAGTCTCAAGTGTATCCCTTCACACCGGACCGCATAGAATGCGACAAGAGCCCCGCTCTGGGGCTGAACTCACGGACGAAAAGCGACAACTTACTGCTGTCTCTTACCTCATCCAGTTTTTTGTTTAAGTCAACAACTTGCTTATCCAGCTCTTTCATTTCTTTCTCATTGTTTTTAATAGTCTCTTTTTTCAATTTAATGTCGTCCTGCACTTGCGTGACTTTTCCCTCTGCTGCTTTGGTTTGCTCTTCAGCAGAAACATACCTGTAACGGAGATATCGTTTTAACTTTCGTGACTATGATGTGCTAAAATATTGCCTTGTTCTATCATGTAAATAAGTGGTTTAGAAGGGGAAGGTAATAAACATACTATGGACACTTGTGCATGTATACTGTAGAGAGAGATGTTCAATAAAATTGTTTTCTTTTCTTAATGTCTTTAAAACAGAAAGAAAGAAGTACTCAACATACTAAGAAGTACTCAACATACTGACATTTTTGTGTTACACTGAACAGGGAGGCACACGGGCGGCCGCGCAGTCCTGTGTCGACTAGGAACTTAGGCAATGACCATACTCACTTCCAAGCGACACACAGCCTGGTGATATTCTCCAGTTCTCTGACAACCTTCTGATATTCTTGGAACTGAGATCTTTCATCTTGCAGCTTCTGAAGTTTAGGTGCTATGTCTTCTCTTATTATCTATTTTGAACAGAAACAATTTTGCCACAACAGTTCTTTTAATGTATTTTCTGAGAAGTTTTAGTTCAGTTCAAAAAAATTTACATCTGATTAATTGTGATCCCTTCTACAAAATCATTATTTTATTCAAAAAAAGTATTGGCAGTTCTGAAAGTCCACCTAAGTAGTCCTAGAAATCTACTAATTTGATGAAGTGATAAAATAGTTTTATTTGTGTCATATTATGCTTTAAAACGAATCGACATTTGTACAGTGTGCAGTGATAGTAAAATTGTACAATTGACTTACATCATTAAGTTCCCGGAGCTTTGCATCTTTCTTCTCAATAGTTTTCTGTGCTGCTTGTTTTTTAGCTTCATACATTCTTGTACCTGCCGCTTCCTCTACCATTGATAATATCTAACAAAAAAGTGGTATTGTAGCTGTATATTTTATATAGTTGTATATATTTTAGCCTTCAGTGCAATGTGGTTATTGGATGCCAATGCTAAACATGAATGTCTCTAGTGCCAATTTACCATGTTCATGTTCTTATGGCTTTTTTATTGTTTATTTTATTTTATTTTATAATTATTAGAAGAAATTTGTAATCATTAGATCAGCAAAATTAGTTACATTTCATTTATTCACAAGGATGTCAAACACAATTACAGCACAGCTTTTTTGCCTTTTTTATTACTTAGATAGGTCATCAAGCTCACAGCCCATCTGACTTTAAGTGGACACCGGAGCCCCGCCACCCACTGTGGGAAAAGGCATCCAAGCCTCAGTGTGCAATTACTGCCCCACACTTGAAAAACGAAACACATTACTGCTTCAAGGCAAACATAGGCAGAGTGGTGATACATACCCATACAAGCTCATGGGATGTTGTACTGCCAGCTCAACTTCAGTTCTCAGGGAGAGTGGTAGCATCAACATTGTCTTGTGGATATAAAACTCTTGAGCTCACAGCTTTTTTTTTATCTTAGGGCCAACAATGGCTGGGCACCAGCCACAGAGCAAGGGTAAATGGAAATCTTCCATATCAGAAGAAAAGATCTCAAGTTTACTGATATTGTGGCTAGTAAGTGTTTGAGGGAAATCAATATAAGAAACATCTTCCACCAAGCAGATAATTTTGTTCCATACACCAAAAGTCCAAATATTGTTTGTAACTGGCTTAACACATGCAAAGCTTCTTTTGAAAATGCCATTAGTGTGATTTCAGCATTTGTCAAATATTTTCTGTCCTATGATGGCACAAAGTGGGAAGCATGAGGATATTACACCACATTTATTACTAAGGCTGGATGTCTCTACCTATATTTTAATCATCACAAATAGCTCAAACATACAATACAACTAATGCCACACAGTACAGAAAAAGAAAAAATTCACAAAGCAATTAAGACCTTACTCGAAATTGTAGTGCACACGCTTTTAGAAAGATTAAATTTCATTCAGAGGAGAGTGAGAAAAATCATACAATTTAAAGTGTTCATATCCAAGACAAGATTTGAATGCAATCTAATGCATCATAATAGTGAAATCAGTCACTATACTCATCAAAACATTTATCAAAGTGTTTTGTGGTTAGACTTGATAATTTTGATTCATAATCTATATATGTTTTTGATTAATAAGGAATAATTATTTTATCCTGAACTTCAGTTCGCAACACTATTTACTAAGGTCATAGAAATAATTTAACTGCTGAAGCTGATGTATGGCTTACCTCAGGAGGTTTCATATTTAGCACCTTAGTAATCCTTCCCTGCATGATGAGGAAGTGTGGGTTATTGACATTAAGCTGAACCGAACAGAATAAGTCACTGACCCTTTTATTTTGGACATTGATACCATTTATAAGGTATTTATTCTTACCACCCATCACCACCTGAAATTTATTTTTCAAATTGTTTCAATAATTGTTAAATAGCATGTACGTTATATTAGTTTGATTAAGCAAATTTGGATGAGGAATTATACTTTTGAATGCTATATGTTATTTCTTGTTTTGTTCAACAAAGCTTATGAAATTTAGCTTGGTTTGCTAATAATAAAAGTCAAGCTGCTTGATCGAATGATTTGTAAATTATGTATTAAATGATGTCATCTCAAACATTTGAATATTGATTTATTAATAATGTATATATAATCTCTTCTTGGATTTTTTAAATAAAGTAAGTTAATGGAAGGCTCATGAACCTGGTAACTTAGCAAATAGTTATTCAATTTCTAAATGTTTTGTTGATTATGAATTACTATTCCAATGTAACTATGTCTTACCTGTCTAGTGACAGTAATCTCATCATGATTCTCATAGCCAATCGGACATTGTCTCTTATCTCTGTTGTCGAAGGTAATGCTAACTGTTGCTTTGGTGATACCTGCCTGCCCATGCTTGTAAATAAGCTCCTGCAAGCTGCTTGCTCGTACCTGTTTTTTTATAATAAATTAATTAATAATTTAGGCACAAATTTCGTTAAACAAGCATTTTGACCAAGAAGCAACTATGTTTTATTGTTGGAATATTCACATTATTTATAATTGTACCCAGAAAGAAGCAGAAAACATCATTGTCGAGTTTTCTTCGCATCAATCGATATTATTGTTGTACTAGAACTTGAAAAGTGTATGTTTTTATTTTCAAGTCATCATGTATTCTGATGCCCATAGGATTTATGTCGCATATTTGATAGGTAATTGAATATTATCATGAATAAACGCTGCTACTATATCGCCATAACCCTTAACAGTGAATGGTATTTGGCGGGAAATAAATCAGCAACAGTTGTTATTTTGTTAGCAATAATAAACTACAACATACATTCGATAAATTTGTGATTCCAAGTACGAAACATATAGAATCTAAGATATTTGATTTTCCAGTCCCATTTAGACCAGTGATCGCATTAAATTCTGGATCAAATCCAGTAATTTCCACTCGGTTTCCGTAAGACTTGAAGCCATCTAACACTATTGACTTAATAAACATGTTCAGATCATAAAAACAACAGTTATAGAACAAGAAAATTCATTAAAAATTTAAACTCATACGAATTCATCAAGCGTTATAGAAGCCGTTGATTTTTTTATGAAATCAAAATTAATTTGTGTTTTTAAAATATTTTTGACATTCATTGATTAATGACATTGACACATAATATTTTTCTCGACAACATTTTTTTTAAAGATTTTAAATCGATTTAGATTAACAATATGGTAAACAGGTAAAAAATTATAAGTGTACCGATTCTTTTTCTTTTCTTTATTGCATACTAGCTGACCCGGAAGACTTCGTAGTGCCTCTATCAATAAATAAAAGACTTAAACTTTTGAATAAAATAAATTTAAAACAAAAGGAATTCGTCCGGCGCGGCGGGGGGGATATCAAAGGAAAAATAAAATTGTTATTTTTATTTAATTCCGAGCATTTTCATATTTATCTATCCTTTTAAACCTTCATTGGACTTCCACAAATAATTCAGGACCAAAATTAGCCAAATCGGTGCAGCCGATTAGGCTAATATTAGGCTTGTACTAGCATAGTCTTAGTCGCTGATGGTAAGAAATTCTTGAGGCGATGCAGAGCACGAAGAATTCCAGAGGTTCTTTGTCCAACGTAAGATATTTGAGCTTTCCAGTCGAGTGTGGAGTCTATGTAAAGGCCTAGGTTCTTAACCACGGAACTTAGGGGAATCACTGTACCATTATAAAATATAGATGGGAGTGATATAGTAGTTATGCATTGAACCATACGAGGACTACCCACAATAATGGCTTGGCATTTCGCTGGATTCACGGTTAAGCCAAACTTAGTTGACCAACTACATATGTAGTCCAGATCCCTATTTAACTGGTTTATTGCCTGAGAAATATATAAATGTAAATGCCGCCATCGATCTAGAGACTTGTCTTTGTGTAATGTACTAATTCACCTACATAAAATTTTTACGCAGGTTTAAATTGTTTTTCACGATATTATTCCTTAATTGTGGAAGTCATTCCTGAACATTATTCAAATTTTTTTTTTTGCTAGGTTTGTGGACGAACTCATGGCCAACCTGGTGTTAAGTGGTTACCGGGATCCATATATATCAACAATTTAAATGCCGCCAACCACCTTGAGATTGCAGTTTTAAGTTTAATTAAACAGTTAAACTGTATAATGGCTGCCCAAAACTTCAAATCGAAAAGCATTACTGCTTTAAGGCATAAATAGGTAGATTTGTGGCATTACCCAAGTATTTCACTAAAAAATTGATACGACTATCGAATGATACGCTCGATACGAATATATTTTTAGACCACGACGAAGGCAAGTTAAACAAAGCTTACTCTTTAGCTGTAAATAATTGTATCTTATAAAATAAAACTTTCATCAAAATGTTGTGTTAAGTTTTTTCGTTAATAGGGATCCCTGTGAAATATTCAAATTGTAATATAATTTGCAACGTTGTTGAATAAGTCTGTTGAAACGCTACATTTTAACCTATGTCCCTTTGCATTTCAATAAATGCTAAAGAAATGTTTAAAAAAAGTTTAAGAACATGGAACATAAAAACGATTTTTATTTGACGTTTTGAATTATTTTGCTTGAGCAGGGTCGATTCATTTGCATTTTATTTTAGTTTATAGATATGGATTTCAATACTACAGGAGCGATGAGAAGTCCGTTCTCGCCCCGGGTAAGACAGTCCATTTCAGGGCGAAGGCCTGGCGGCCTATCTTCCTTGAAAAAAAGCCAAAGGTGTGTTTCTTAACCTATACCTGTTATGTTTTATATAAATTATTGTCTTTCTCTTTATTTACGGCTTTTATTACAGTAAATTTATGCAGTCACAAAGCGAACAAACTGGCGATGTGATCTATAAAAGTCCATCGATGACACTAGAAACGTACGGGGCACCTATGCCAGTGATGGTCACAGAGGCTCTTGCGTTCGGTTAGTTACTGATCAACACAACGTCCTATTAATTACAATATCTGAAAACCATGAGCATTTTTCATTCCAGACATTTCGAAAAAAATCGTAGTAGGGTAGACAAAAAATCATTCATCAGTCATTTGGCTTATTTGTATCAAAACCTAAAATTTGGACCTGTTGTACCATGATTGCTTAGATTAAATACTGTAATTCGTTTTAAATTCAAAGCAAGTGGAGACATCTCAGTGCGCCTCTCGACCTGTGGCTGGTGTTGGGTAGTGTCTGGTCGTCGCATCCTGGCTTGGGAGCAATCTCCAATAGATACTGATGAAGATCCAGCCAATGTGACTGGCATATCAGCTGCTCGAGAGCTCACATTACCTCAAACAGATTTAGCTCACAAGGCTGATTTAGTTGTACTGTTTTACGGAAATGACTCCCAGGTAATCAGAAAAAATTGCTAAACATATGTATAACTATAAAAAACTGAATTTTAAAATTTATTTATTTATAAGAGAAAAAGACATGAAAAATACATTTGGAGCAAAGACCAAGGGATTTTTTCCATTGAGCGAGTGATATTGCTTGCTATGCCAACTGGTCCAAATGTTAGTGTTCTAAACTTGTATAGATTCAAATGTATTCTAAAAATGTTATGGTGAGACTCAGGCATATGTCAAGTATCTTGGTCAAAGCTACCTCCACATACAGAAAAAAAAACTAAAAGGAAGGATTAGTCTTAAATTTGTGGAAAGTCTTCTGAGATATTTACCATCATTATAAAGTTTTAAATGCCTTTTCAACAGTCACAAACTGAAGAATTATTGAAACCACATTTATGGTTTTACCCCATTAGCATAAAAAACAAAAAATTAAACTATAAAAGCTATTAAGAAAAAAACTATACCAAAAATATTGTTTTAGATGCCATCCTGTATTGGAGTTTCACCTGAGGGTGTGATTCGCTACTGGCCCTCAGTAGGACAGGAAGAGGTTTATGTAGATGTAACATGTGAACTAGCAGGTCAAGAGTGTGAGAAACTAGGAGATTACACCAGCTCTGGCCTCATACTGGCTACTACGACTTGTACCGTGGTGCTATTGACTCCTACTGTTCTTGGTTAGTCATCTTGTTTATTTTGTTGTTGTATTTAATAACGTTTTTGTTTGGCATATTTATCTAACTTTTAATTAAAGCTGTAATTTAGTATATGTATAGTTGATCTGAACGTCATAAAACTGGTTACTAAATAATACATTATATTATATATTAGATGGAAGAGCAACAGTGACTTGCTGCACTTTACGTCCACCGAGTGGTTGGCTAGGAGGTATAGGACGACGTGTATCACTGTTGTTCTTTGGATCTATGCCTGCACACACAGATACGGTGAGTATACAATATAATGTATGATCCCAGTGAATCTACAACCAATTTCCAAATTTTTACTTACATATTACATGGTGAGTACCTACCACCAATAATAGTTAGCTTGGTAAGCGTATCTTATTGTGTCTTTTGTCAGTTAGGCCATAAGGCCATAATTTATTACAATTTAGACAAAACTTTGGGTTTGAAATTGTCTTCTACTAATAACAAATCTGAACAGATCTTTGATTGATGCTCAATAATGTAGACCTTACTTATTTTATATAATTTGGTAAATGTTATAATTTGACTTGTAGCAATATACATACATGTTCCTAATAATCTAATAAGGGTTATCCCTGAGTTTTTTGCTGATTCTTCTTAGTAGTGAAATCATATTCCCATTGTGTGGTAGAATTGTGATCATTTGAAAATACCTGAGAAAGTCTACTAAATTACGATTGTAAATGTGAAAGTCAGTTTGTCACACTTTTATGTCTTAATGACTCAACCATTCATCAGTTTTTACATACACATTTCCAAGGTTGGGTAAGGATATAGGGGTTTCTTCTACATTAAATTGAGTTAAGTTGCTGCTTTTACCTTCTGATAGGTGATATTTTTGCAAACCCTGTACAATCCTGCACCCTGTACATGCCTGGGTGGGTATTATACTACGATCCTGTATGTTTCTGCAACACAGCACATGCATCACATGCATTCTTGATTGAATGAAGGTGGCTGGCACCTGGTGTTGACTTAGACTACAATTTTAATGTAACCATCTTTGTATTTTAATGTATCCATCATTATGCAAGTAAATTATTACATGTGATTTGTGTAGATTTTATCCAGTGAACCAAATAAATTATGTTGTATTAACGGCTTCGATATCATAAGGCATGACTGAATTGCGACCAAAATTGATGGAAGCACGATGTTGGTACTCACCCGTCGGGCTGAACATTTTGTGGTGACGGTGAGAAGTAGGAGCGAACTGGTGTTGTTTGTCGCAGCGGCTGGTGGGTGCGGTGTGGGCGGGGGACTGTGTGTGGCTGGTGGCTCGCGGGCCAGCGCTGCAGGTGTGGCGCCCTCCCGCGCTGCTGCACCACCACTCGCTGCGGGGCCCGCTGGCGCTCGCCGCGCGCCCGCATCTGCAGCCTCACGGTACGCACCGCGCGCACACACGCTACTGCCACTAACCCTGTATGTGTCATAATGTTATGTAAATGTACACATCAGGTGACTTGAACAGCTTGGAGATAATGGCTCTGGATGTGCAGGCCAGTGGGAACGATGGCTTCTTGCTACTAATCGCAGCAGTTAATGTAACGAGGTCACCGGAAATGAGATATGCTATTGGTAAGAATCTATTATTATTACTATTTTTATGACTTTTAGACAAAACTGTCCCTCCTCCACGAATTAGCGTTTTATTATTATAGCAGACATGCCCTTTTCCCAAACCAAGCATAAATATTTGTTGTGTTGTTATTGTTGCACTATTGTGCACAACTTCTATACACCACTACCAAGAGATAAGTTAATGTTCAGAACAGAAAAATATTTTAACTATGCATGAATTTGTGGTTTAAGCTCACATCAACGTAGAAGATCCATCGTCTCCTCGTGTAAGTTCATTTGTTCCTGTCCGGAATTTTCCTCAGGAAGCGGATGAGCCTCCGCGGCTTTTGCCCTTCGGAAACAAAGCGTTATTGTATACATCCAAATACATCGCTTTGATTTCACGTAAGTGCTGGTTTTTATTGCTATGATGGGTGGACGAGTTCACAGCACGTCAATACCCACCTTGAGTCATGAATTTCTCAGTCTCCGTTTTTAAAGTACAACGGCTGCACCGCCCTTCAAACCGAAATGCATTATTGCTTCACAGCAGAAATAGGCAGGGTGGTGGTACCTACCCGTGCGGACTCACAAGACGTCTTGCCAACAGTATTAACACATGAAGTCAGCGTCGGAACGTTACGATATGGCTATGTCGCATAGCCTTATCGTTGCCGCTGCTGACTTCTCCCGAATCCTGATCACGCAGGAGCAAGTCACCGTCGTCGCCCTAGACACGTCCTTACGGATCCATCAGATCCAATAACTCTTGCATTAGATACCTTCAGCTCTAACACTAGGAGCAGGCTCAGGAACCCCGGTAACCGTACTCGTCGAACTCGACAAAGAGGTCGACGTCCATCCTAACCCGTGCATCAGCCCGCTGAGTTTCTCTCCTGATCTTCTCAGCGGGTCGCGATTCCGATCCGGTAGTAGATTCATTCGCGAAGCAGCTGCTCTTGAGTTGTTAGGTCTCCTTCGGAGGCGATCGGGTAGCTGTTAGCAAATCCCACCCTTTCTGGCTGAGCCTGTGCTCGCCCACCTGTCCTGGTGAAACTGGAAAGGCCTCCGGGCCACCAGTAAACCTTCAATCATTAAAAAAAAACCTCCAGTAATTACGCATATTATAATTTTTGGTTGTTAGATTTTTATTACACAACGTTATTCCTTCACCTTTGAGATTATTCGTGAACATTTGTTAGGTATGTATTTCATTAGAGTATTTGCTGGATTCGAACACCGGCACAGTCGCATCACTCGATACGAATGCACCGGGCGTCTTATCTTTCAGGCCACGATTACTTCAAAATAAAACTGTATTATAATCAAAACTTTGGTATGTTATGTATAGTAAGTAAGAATGTTGCTAATGCAATGAAATATTCATTTTTCGTTTACTATTACGACTAGCCATTATTTTTTTTTCCAAAAAAATTAAAAATGTGGTCTAAGTACTAAATTTTTCTGCAACAGTAGCAGCCACGACGGATGCTGAAGTTGTGGAGGCGGCCAGTGGAGACCGCGTGCTCAGCGCCGCGCGCTCCCCGCATGGACCCGCGCTGTTCACCGCCGCGCACGGCCTGCTCGCACTGCGTCTGCACTCGCACGCCGCGTCAGTATACACACGCACACACGCCCCCGCACGGACCCGCGCTGTTCACCGCCGCGCACGGCCTGCTCGCACTGCGTCTGCACTCGCACGCCGCGTCAGTATACACACGCCCCCGCACGGACCCGCGCTGTTCACCGCCGCGCACGGCCTGCTCGCACTGCGTCTGCACTCGCACGCCGCGTCAGTATACACACGCCCCCGCACGGACCCGCGCTGTTCACCGCCGCGCACGGCCTGCTCGCACTGCGTCTGCACTCGCACGCCGCGTCAGTATACACACGCCCCCGCACGGACCCGCGCTGTTCACCGCCGCGCACGGCCTGCTCGCACTGCGTCTGCACTCGCACGCCGCGTCAGTATACACACGCCCCCGCACGGACCCGCGCTGTTCACCGCCGCGCACGGCCTGCTCGCACTGCGTCTGCACTCGCACGCCGCGTCAGTATACACACGCCCCCGCACGGACCCGCGCTGTTCACCGCCGCGCACGGCCTGCTCGCACTGCGTCTTACAATTTGCACCACGATGTCAACTGTATAATCGTAACTTAGTGTGAGCTTCTGTCCGCAGAGCTGCATGTGACAGTCCGATCGGCTCCTCGAGTCAAGCCGACATGTATGAAGGAAATTTATCGCTGTACGAAATTGATCCTTGCGAGGTGAGCATCTACTCTTGCTTTTGTTTAGTATCATATGGAAATATATGGGGGGTAGGGGGGACCACATGAATATGAGGTGCGCTGATAAGTTGTTCTGGAAGAAATGTTCATCGAACCGTGATCACCGCCGGTCTGATGTAACGATGGTATGCACTGCACGCTGCAGCCGAGCCTGCCCGCGCCGCGCTCCCTCAATGTACTCAAGTGACTGGTTGGTACCGCACAGATGAGCGCGGTGGTGACGGACGCGTGCGGGAAACTGAAGACGGCCTTCCTGTTCCACCTGCGGCGGGACTCCACCTCGTGCCGCGAGCTGCTGGACGAGCTGTTCCCGCCGCCCGGCCAGCACGCGCCGCAGGAGCCCGACGTGGACGCGCCCCTGGACCGCACCGTGCTCGCCGTGGCCACCGAGACGCTGGACGACATGCCCGCGGGGGATCCTAGGTACGCCCTCCTTCCGTTGTCGATGTGCAACATGGTTACATTACCTTCCGTGAGCAAGGGTATGGCGGAGCGAACGCGAACCGACTTAGTGCCTTATTGAAGTGTACAGGTACCGGGGACATTCGGAACGTTGTTTCTTGAAAATGACACACACTCTTAGGAAATGTTTTCATTGCGACGTCGTTGCCCACATCCCTAAAGTCACAAAATGTCCGTTGAGTGGAGCGGGCGGGCTAACGCCGCGCGTGCCCGCAGGTGGAAGCGCTCGAGCGGACAGCCCACCCACGTCCCGCTGGGCAGCTCCACGGCGCTGCAGATAGAAGCCCAGCTCCTGGACAAGCAGAGAGCGCTGGCACTCTTCTTCGACTTCCTGAGAGCGACCGGCCTGTGGCAGAGGTTGGGCCTCGTCACTGTAGGTATGTGGACGTCGCCTTCTGTCGTTAGGGCCAAGGTGGAACGCAGGGGGACCTCAAGGGAAAATCTACTGCACTAACATGTAAATTAACTTATGTTGTTAAAAATATATGGTTACAAAAATTTGAAATTAAATTCGTAAACGTTTCTTATGATCGTTAATTAATTATTTGGTAAATATATATAAGGTAATTTCCAATAAATATGTTTGTGATTAGAACGACACAGTCAGTCAAACACAATTGAGTTTCTCTGAACATGAAATAAGTGTGTATTTACTCATTACGTTACAAAAACCTACATACCTGTAATAAAAGAAACGACATTTAATGTTATTATTAACAATGTCAGTTCCTGAATCACAATTAAGTAGTATTTTAAACTTTAAATATTAATTTATTAACAATCACGAGTCTCATGCGTTTTAGGTTATCTTTTCCATAGCTAATTAAATTCATTGATTTGNTTAACAATGTCAGTTCCTGAATCACAATTAAGTAGTATTTTAAACTTTAAATATTAATTTATTAACAATCACGAGTCTCATGCGTTTTAGGTTATCTTTTCCATAGCTAATTAAATTCATTGATTTGTCATGTCACTGTCACTGTGCATTCGATGATGATTGATGCGCGGGAAATTGAATTAAAGAAAATTATATTTTTTCTTTACATATATATTTTGTAAACTAGTTGATATGACGTGCGTCGCGTGGGCCGTTGTGAGTGTGTATGTGCGCGTGTTGCAGAGGACGAGGGCGTGGCCAGCACCACGAGCGCGCTGTGCCAGGCCTGGGAGCGCGTGCGCGGCGCCGCGGCCCTGCGCCGTCTGCAGCGGGGGACCCACGCCGCCTTCATAGACTCCATTATATGTGAGGTGAGGCCGCCCTGCGCCCCCCCCCCCAACCCCCCGCGCCCCCCGCGCCGCCCCACTGAGCCGCGCTGTGTCCGCAGGCGGTGCGCGGCTGGCAACACCGCGAGGAGGAGAGCGTGCACGCGGCGCTGTCCAGTGGCGCGCTGTCCCCGACGGACGCGTGCTACCGTCGCGTGTCCCGCTTGCCAGCCGTGCTGCTGATGCTCACCCGGCCCGTGCCGTCCGACCGCCCGGCGGCGCTTGCCGTGCTTAGTGTGAGTACTCCAACCTCCCCACAAATTATACACTAGGTTCAAAACATGATATTTTTAATTTAAACACTTAAAATCTCTAACTCGCTAAAATACTAAACTTAATTTAAACTAAATAAAAAACTCTAATTTTTTATGTTTTAGTGTGATAATGTTGTGTGTAGTTTTAGTGTTTAGTTTAATGCTTTAGTGTTTGGTTCCCTTTTTTTACTCAGCGCTACAGCTACAGTAATTAATTAGTCAAGGGACGTGTCTCGTACAGGGCGTGCTATCGGAGATGCTGAAGGCTCGCAAGTCGTGGCAGAACGTGTCGCCGCCCCCGCTGGGCTCCTCGGCGCTGCTCACCCCCGCGCTGCACCTCATCAGGAAGAGTCTCACGTGAGTACCTACCCTCCGCGACCCTCTCCCGTACACTCGAGTATCGTTTTATATTGTTTTTGCTTAAATATAAGAGTAATGAGAAACGGTTAGTTAAACATATTTGTTTTCTGTTAATAAAAATAAGTGTCGTATAAAAGCATTTAAGTTTAAATTAATTGCATAGCTTTGGGCTCTATGCAATGTCACTTCTGCAGTGAATTCGAAAACAAGGGGGGCGATGCGACGCTGCGCGCGCAGGTGTGCGAGGCGGCCGCGGGGCTGGCCGACGTGCTGCTGGCCGGCGCGCAGGCCTCCCCCGCCTACCCCGCGCTGCGCACCGACCTCATCCGCCCCTTCGGTAAGTGCAGCCCCGCCCCCGCCCGACCCCCCGCCCCCACCCCCACCCGCGCTCACCGTCTGTGCTCGCCGGCAGTGGAGCAGGGGGAGCCGGAGCGCGCGGCGGCCCTGGCGGAGAAGTACCAGGAGTTCTCTGTGCTGGTGGAGCTGTGCGTGTCGGGCGGCGACACGGCGCGCCTGTGCGACTACGTGGACCGGTACAGCGACCGCGTAAGTGTGCATCAGCCCGCTCACTTTCTCGCCGGATCTGTTCAGCGGGTCCCGATCCAGTAGTAGATTCATTTACGAAGCAGCTGCTCTCGAGCTCTTAGGTCTTCTTTGGAGGCGCTCGGGAAACTGTTAGCTAATCCCACCCCTTCTGACTGATCTTTTGTTCCTTTATTTAAAAAAAACTCACTCTTTTTGCGATTGTCAAAAGTCAAATTTCTTCATGATCGAGCTGAGTCGGCAATTTTTGTTTTCATTTCGTGACGATATCTATCCGTCGGTTAGAAAAGATTATCTGTTGAATCGATGTCTGTGTGTGCACTGTGCAGGGCATGGCGGAGGTCGCGTACGAGTGGATGTCGCGCAAGGGGGGCGCCGCCGCCGCCGCCCTCGTCAGAGGTAACCACACTCGTACTAACTCGCGGTAATGTAGAGACAACTATCTATTATCTAGTGGATAATTGGCACTCCATGTCCCTCTGTACCGCTGTGGTGTCACAGATAGAACTTGTGCAAGATTTAAAACTTCTCTGTCTTCACGCCGTGGACTGAAGTACATACTGTACGTGCGCAGGCGCTGGGGGCGGAGCCCGGCTGACGGCGTGGCTGCGGCGGGAGCGCCCCGACCTGCTGTCGCTGCACCAGCTGCACCGCGGGGACCACGCCGCCGCCGCGCACACCTTCAGCAGCCTCGCGCACGCCGAGACCGACAACCTCGAGCGGATGACGGTGAGTGGCGCCGCCCTCACGTACAAGGAACTGATTGGTTTAACTGTAGACATATTTAAGTTTGTTTATCAGAATATTACCAATAAAGCATTAGTTACTAATGTCACGGGTGAGTGATGGTCAGCGCCCAACACGACTCCGTGCGTACAGCTCAAAGTCACAGCCGGATAGATACAGCGTGGAGGGCGACGCTTTAGTGGGAACATTGACCCACCCGTGTTACTATGCCGTCTCACCCGGGTCGCTCCCCGATGACTGGGTCTCGAACAGTTGAGGTATAGACCAGCAAATGTACATTCGCAAGACGCGTCAAGTCTGTTCCTCCCACGCCACGTGACCATGCCTGTCAAGAGTGACGATTGCGAAAAAAGTACGGCAATCAAGTGCGTACTCCGGTATGGGGTTGTGTGCAGACGCTGGCGTCTCTGAGCAAGCTGTGCATGCTGGTGTCGGACGCGCCGGAGGAGGCCCCGGCCTGGGACGCCGTGCAGCGCCGCCTGGCCCTCGCCGAGCAGCACCGCGCCCTGCCCAGTGACGTCATGCCCAGTGACGTCACGCCGCAGCGCGTCATGCAGCCGCACGAGCTCGTCGAGGTACGTGCGACATGTAATGTTGACACTACAACTAATATTCAAAATTAATAAAAACAAAAAGTAATAAAAAAGCCAATAAATTAGCGTCTCTAGATACAGATCGTGTCAGTAAATGATATATTTGCAGGTGTACCTAAAATCTGAGAACAAATCGTTGACTGAATACGACTACAAGAAGGCGCTGGACCTGACGGAGGGCGTGGAGGACCCCGAGCAGCGGCAGCGGCTGCGCCTGCGGGTGAGTGCCCCCCCAACCCGCCCCGCCCCCGGGCGTGTCGCTGTGCGGCGCCTGACGCCCCGCTGTGTGCAGGTGTGGTGCGCCAGCGTGCTGCGCGACGACTGGGCCGCCTGCAAGCCGGACGACCCCGCCGCCGAGCTCATGCAGAGGACCTTCTTCAAGCTCATAGACCTCGTCAACGTCATGGGTGAGTTCGCTCCCTCTGCCGCACTCAGAGTAAAGGAGAGAAAGAGTAAGGATTCTCATATATTATATATAGTATCTGACAAAAGGTATATCAAGCCGAAACGTGGCTCTAGTATCAACAATGTAGATCGCATTAAAAACCATGAAAAAAATCGAATTTAATCACACCTTTATTGCAAAAACAAAAGAAGCTGTTTGATATGTCCACACAGTGGGAGCGGTGCCAGCGGAGTCGCTATACATGTGTGCGTATTGTAATCAGTTGACATCACGTGCACCATTTTCAGTTGAGAGATTGTTGCGTTTTCGTGTAACTTAGACTTCCGAAAACAATCCAAAGTTGTTGGGATTTTACAATAATCTTTATTCTTTTGTGCGTTAAATTTAGTTTGCAGACATAAGCCTTTGTGAGATAAAAATATTTCAAGTTATCATTTACATAACTTCGCCCTACAAGATGCAGACTGTTGATCGGCGCGCCAGAGAGGACTTAATGAAGGCGATATCAGGACAGCTCCTATTTAGCGGCGAAAAACAGTTCACAATTTAGTTTGCGCACTCAGTTAATACGTTTACTTACTGGTGGTACTGACCAGGGCTGCCGCGGACTTACTAACTTAAACTGAGTCTTAGAACTCAAGACTGTCACGACGCGAGTTGCAACACTTACGTCGCTGATGTGTGTTGGCTTCGGTAACCACTTAACACCAGGTGGGCCGTGAGCTCGTTCATCCATTTCAACAATAAAAAATAAAATAAAAACCTATTAGCATATTTTAATATGTGGCCAGCTTTTTAAATTATGAATCACATTACTGTACCTTCGTGAAACATTCAAGGATTGACAGAATAAGTTCGTTATCTTCAAGAGCTATTGTATTTAAACAGATTTTATTTAATTGGGAAGGTAGGTATTGTAATGTCGACTCGGTTATTCTAATAATTTTAAGCGGTAGGCAGCGGCTTGGCTCTGCCCCTGGCATTGCTAAAGTCCATGGGTGACGGTAACCACTCACCATCAGGTGAGCCGTGTGCTCGTCTGCATGCAAGAGCAATAAAATAATAATAATAATAGAAAAGTGCACAGTATCGTTTGGTTGTCGGTACGGGCGCACAGGCGACGACCTGGACGTGCTGCTGCCCGAGCTCCCCGAGCTGCTGTCGGCGCCGGAGCTGGCCGCGCTGGCTGCGGACTCCAAGTTCCACTACCTCCTCAAGTACGGGTACGAGTGCCTCCACCAGCGCACCGCGGACCAGAGCCCTGATGACTCTGCTTGACCCGCTGGACCTCTGAACTGAGACGAACAAAACGGGATTTGAATGTTCGTAAAGATTAGTTTACCCGCGCCGAACTCATACTCCGACAAATGCTCTCCATGCGAGCACTCAAGCTGATAAAATCTGGTTGTGTATGCAATTATAAAGTGCTTGTTGTTAACTAAAGAAACACGTACTGCGACAGGGTATTCCACTGCATTGTGTCAAATCAACACAACGCCTTTATTATTTTATAAAAATGGCAATAAAATTCAAATAAATATCATGATCGTCTGCGGCGCGACTTCAGTGCACTCAAATACCCTAACGTAGGTTCAGGTCTTGCTCCAAAGTCGCTAGGTAAAGACTTTGAACTTTTGAAACTTGACAATTTAATGATTATCCACATAGAAACAAAAGTACACAGAGAATTTGAAGCAGGCCTCTGGCACATTATACAAGCTCTCGGTTGGTACGCAGACGGAACTTTGAGACCATTGGATTCGTTCAATTTAAGTGATAGTGTTTGTAAACGCGTGCCGGCTCAACGCTTCATTCAAAAGCAAATAAATACTATTTCCAATTGAGTTCTCAGTACCAACCCTTTTTAAAAATCGTTCCGAACAGTCAAAACCCATTTTAGGAATAAACGAAGATCAATACGTCTTTCTTTGTTCAAAGTAGGTTATTTTGTGAGTTTTGTTTCCGTTGAACGCAGATAATTCTAAGTGACATAGTCGGTAAGACGAGTGATGTCCGCGGGCGCCTGCCTCCGAACGGTGGCTGAATTACATTTAGTCTAAAATATTTCATTAGCCGCTGTAGATGTTGTTGAGTGACGTCTCGTTGTCGCGGCTGTGTGCGTGCGTGTACGTGTGCGTGCGTGTGCATGAGTGTCTCGAACTAAATTGTTTGATTTCATTATTTAAAAGACTAATAAATCGTATTGAAATTTCTAATGACATTATGTTAAAAATGGTTTTCGAACGACCTATTGTAATGAACATTAGACATAGTATTTAATTAATATAACGCTTTAGTAATGGGACACTTAATATTTGTAGCTCAGTACTTTAGGTGATGTGCCCTCATGTAGTGTGAATATTTGATGACACTCGCTTGTGTCGGTTCTAGGAAGAGTCGGTTTTGTGAAGTTTTTGGAATTAATGTTTGTGTCAAATACATGTGTACCAGTGGAGCACCGCGCGGTTGGGACTATGAACTTGCTGATGTCCATGAGCCATTAATCCAGTGGACCAAGTCTTCGTATGCCGGTTGAGGCACAAGGAATAGCAACATTAGACGTTAGGTAGCTACTTGACTCTGATATAGACATTGTCAATTTTTAAAGCATGCGGGTAAGTATATATTTTCTAAAGCGTGCTGATTTATCGTTAATGTTCGCAGAACGGTAGACTCAAAAGTAAGCCATTATTTTAGATTCATTGTACTACTGATATTTAGTTTTATTAGAGACGGTAAGTAACTTGTAGACATAACTAATACAAAAACTTCACAAACATACTTTAGAAATAAGAAAAATAATCATAAGGAAACTAAACTCACCATTCGATGATGTTCAGTCAGACTGATTTAACTGTAAGCTATTGTATAAGCGGTGTTGCCACTCATCGTAAGAGACCTAACTGATAATTAAATAATGTAGAATCTCGCTTAAAAAAAACTGGCTGGATAGATTTAAATTTATTTTAGGTATCTAATTTTAAATGGCAACACTGAATTAAACTTTAAACTTAATTATTCTAAAGGTAACTGGACACGGGTTTTTGTTCAATTTTAAAGCACTATATTTTCACTACATAAGTAATTATCTTAGTAGACAATACTTGTTATATAATACAACCTAATAACATATTTTACTGTGGTAAATGTGATTTTTATTCCTAAAGTTCAGTTTTCAAATTAAATTGATGTTGAATTGATAATTTTAAAGCCATCAGTATATTTGGTGACTTATGACAATGTATTGTTTGACACAGCTGATCATTTTTTATGCCATTAAATTGTTCCTAGATTTAAGAATACGTAGTTTCTAGAAAAATAAGATTAAAAACAAAAAAATGTGATTGGATTCAGTCGTTTACTCTTCAAATATCGATTAACGCAGATATTTGTAATCGCCGATAACGTAGCGTACAAAGTTGTACGGACTATGTGCATTATTGAATTTAATTTCAATAAATAAAATTATATCAATAAAAAAAAGTTGTAAATAAAATTTTCTCAAACTCTTACATTTAGACTACTATAGTTGGCATAAATCTAGTAAATTGTGAAATGATTAATTAATAACAACCAAACCTGTTTTTTTTTTGTGATTTAACGTTTTAATTAAATAATAATGAAAATAAAAGGCGTTCTTTTATTACTCTTCCCGCCAGTTCTAAACGTTGTGTTGATGAAATGTTCCAGCAGTATCTACTCCAAACTCACATTGAAGTACTCGATGCGACGCGACGTTAGTAAAATTGTAGATAAAAAACCAAAACACAAACAAATTGTTTATTTAATGCTTAGATGGACGACCTACCTAGTGTTAAGTGGTTACCGGAGCCCATAGACATCTACAACGTAAATGCCCGAGTTTTATCACTGACTGCAAGTGTTGGGAGCCTGTCGCCGCCCACTTCTGGTGGACGTTATTGGTGGTAGGGCGTCCTACGAGTCCACACGGCTAAGTACCACCACCTTGCCTATTTCTACCGTGAAGCAGTAATGCGTTTCGGTTTGAAGGGCGGAGCAGCCGTTATACTATAAAAGCTGAGACTTAGAATTCATGTCTCAAGGTGGGTGGCGGCATTTACGTTTTAGGTGTCTATGGGCGCCGGTAACCACTTAACACCATCTAAGCAATAAAAAAAACCTGAGACTATAAAGAGCATGCTCGGGCTGGATGAACATCGTGTTTCAAGATCGGCGATTTTATACCGTCCCACTTTTAATTGACAACACTACACACACAACGACACGTCAAGATGCTCTTAGGATTAACCTTGAGGATTTTTAATGTAATTCTTGTATGGCCATATTAAATTCATGATCTTTTAATCTACAGTGTTTTTAATTTTTCAATCTATACTAATATTATAAAGAGGAAAGATTTGTTTGTTTGTTTGTTTCGAATAGGCTCCGAAACTACTGTACCGATTTGAAAAATTCTTTTTCCATTAGAAGCCGACATTGTCCCTGATGAACATAGGCTACTTTTTTTTAATTTATTTTATTTTATTTTTTTGGTTTCATGTGTGTTTTAATGTTTCCGAAGCGAAGCGAGGGCGGGTCGCTAGTACATATAATTAAATCGTAACTGATCGCTGTCTGTACACGGAAGATATCTCAGAAAAACTGTTATTGGGGGCTTTATGAACGCAATAGAACCCAAAATGATGATTTTTAGAATTTTTGTCTTTGTGCGTTTGTGCACGTTCATCTCAGAAACAGCTTATCCGATGTGGTTTTCACTAATTTATTGTGGTAAGCTTTATTTAATTTTTAACTATGACTTCAATTATTTTCCCGCGACTTTTCACGGCACGCTATTTGACACATCGTCCAATAACGAGCAAATAGCAATCGTTTGCAGTCGGCCGGCCGTCGCCGCGTCAAGCGCATGCGTAGTGGCCCCGCTACGCTTTTTTGTTTATCACTAATAGTAGGACGCGGTATTGACTCGCGAGTGCCGATTGGAGACAGTAAAATATTTTTATTGAAAAGTTAAACAGTGACACCTTGAATGTTTGTGATAATATTATTATTGTTAATATTCGCAAGACTGCGAGTCCTCGTCGAGTCCATTGGACAGTTTGTAAGTGGGGGTTTTGTTTGCTATTATTCCTTTTTACAATTTCGTACTGCAGTTGCAATTGCAATGATTCGAAATATAAACAAAATTTATGTGTAAATGACGTCGCATTTATTGTGCATTAATTTAAAGTAGTCGATATTTATTTTAATAATAGATAAACAAATACCTGAAATCACAGCACGTAAAATCTTAACAAATTTTATTTCTTAATCGATTATACTAAGTTCACGCCTACCTTGTCTTAAAAATACGAGTGTTTTGAAAACGACCATCATCCCATTCATTACATCTCAACAAGTTGACAAGGTTCTTACGCCGGCACTGTGAAGCATAAGGTGCTTGCAAATTAACAATCATGAAGGAAGTAGGTAGATGCATACAATTTTACAAAATGTCCGACTTCTGAATATCAGCTTATCTAAGGGTTGTGTCTAAATCTTGTGAACTAATATTTTATGATTGAAAACCGGAATGCACATTGGCATAGCGGTAAAAATAGGCAGGGTGCTGGTACGCACTACTTGATCGCAATGCTCTCTAGTAATTAACAGTTGGTGCCGTCTAATGCCCATACAGACATCATATATTTGTTGTATGCCAATATTAATTAAAACACTAATCATTAATTACATCATCGAATCTAAAAGGACTGAGTCATGTTCTAAAACGTATTTTATGACCTATTCAATTAATAATAATTAAATCTTTGCATCAAAGCTTCTGTGTAGGGGTTGAATACTTAATTAGAGTTACGGTGGTTGCGTGTTACAAATGGTTTGCCATAACGATATTGAATGTTTAATTGTGATAGTTCTCGGAGCGGTCGCCTTTTTACTGATTACGTTGAGCAATGTACGTGGGAGCGTTGTTTTAGACATATTGGGAAAGACATTACATTAGGAAAGATACGATTTTCCGCTCTAATTATATATTAGTTAGGTAATTTAGTACATTTTTGTAACTGTTATTTCCCTCCACTCGCCACTGACGCAGATTTCATTTATACGATTTGGGAATACGACGATCAAGCATAGTTCGTTTCCTGTGTGCGAGTTTTTTAACGGTCTCGATAGCGTAAAAGTGAAGTCAAATTTGTATGGAGTTGGAACGTTTGCCTATATTTGCCGCTAGGAGCACAGTTCCAGCTGCAAACATATTTCAGGTAACTTTTACGCTATCGAGAACGTTAAAAAACTCGCACCAAGCACATTGAGCTATTTGTAACATATCCTGCGGCTCTGAAATAAGTTTCTTTCTAGTGTTTCGTGGATGCTGTGTCCCGAACAAAAGGCACAGCTGTGCTCTTCAAAAGAGGCCGTATTAGGGAGGTAGATAACTACATTCCCGCCGTAAAATCTTTGGCTCATACTCTGGGCTGCGTAGATCAAGTACCTACCTACCTAGGGACTACCTTCGACAAAAAGGTGACATTCCGTCAGATACAGACAGTCGTCTTTACCCCACCTGCAATTGTCCGTTCTTAATAAGGCCACAGGCTACAATACTTTCATACCTACAGTTATGACCTATGCAAGTGTAGTGTTCGCTTGCGTGGTCCGTGCACACATTAACTGTCTCCAGGTCATCCAATCCCATTTGAGAGTAGAGTAGAGTGTAGATCTTGACGATGACCTGAAATTAGAATCAATATCTTAAATTAGAAGCGTCAGACCACTTCTTCGAATAAGCGGCGCGTTTACCCTTTTAATGTGGACGTCTCTACATATCCAATCCATAGACACCACCCACTGAGTTTCTCGCCAGACCCTCTCAGTGCGTCGCGATTCCGATCCGGTAGTAGATTCAGCGAAGCAAGCACTGTTCTTGCTAGGGCCGGTGTTAGCAAGTTCTCTTATGTTGCGCCCGTGAGCTCACCTATCCGTCCGCGCGTGGTTGAGATAATCCCGTAACCTACCGACGATGAGGTAGGAAAAAAAGCTACGTCATGACCTACTTCAGACAAGGTCTGGAACGATAGACAGCGGCTCAGCTGTGTCCAGTGTGCATTGTCCATGGACATCTGTGACATCTTACCCTCTGGCGTGTCGTGCACTCGTTTGCTTGTAATAAAAAAAACACTATGGCCGATGAATCCGCCAAAAACGAACTCTCTTAACTTTTCCTCCCTCATTAGTATTTGTAATAAGTGTCTTTCCAAAAGGTTACTACTAAGCTTTAAAAACATTATAATAAAAATGGAGGGTGACATGAGGTACTAATCTAAACTGTTTTATATAGCTGTCTCGCTGTACTACTGGTAGCTCGAATGTTATCTTTTGAATTCTCATGGTTCTTGTGAATTTGTTAATAAAACTCATTGAATTTAAATTAGTAACACGGTTCGAGTTGACAAGCTGATTACTTCATCGATGCGCCAGCGTCACGTTATTGTGTGCTAATTAGATATTACGTTCGCTTTTGCTGTGAATTTCTTTATTTTAAATGAAACAAGTCTAGCGCAAACATCGATCGGTCTACAAGCCGTGAGCAAATCATATTTATACGAGTATTTGATTTAACATTATTCTAGAGAGTTACACGTGAAATTGTAGCCTTTTTTTCCTACCTAGCTGAGAGCCTTGAGAGGCTATTTCAGTGTAACCTTAACTAGTAGGTGAGCTCACGGGGCTCAAACCTGACGACGTTGCTAACACGAACCCTAGCAAGAGCCGTGCTTCGCAGAATCTACCACCGGATCGGAAACGCGACTCACTGAGAAGATCTGGCGAAAAACTCAATGGGCTGTCTGAGGGTTACTTTACTCGTCGAGCCCTTCGTCGCAAGCGACGGGTTCGACAAGAACGGTGACCGGTGCTTGAGGTACCTAAAAGCACCGTTAGTGGATCGGGAGGATCCGAAATGACGTGTTTGGGGTGATGTCGACTGCTTTCCATTCTGTCCGCAGGATCGGGAATGTAGTTACCGGCGGCCAGGATGAGAGGGTTTTCGTGTCGTGCCGCTTTATCCAAGTGGAATTGTTCCTTTAAACCTTTAAGAGGATGCGTGCCGAAGGCCCAAGGAGCGTTGAGAGTCGCCTGCGACTGGTCCGTTACAGGACGACTGATGTCTTGTGTTGAACTTCCAGATTGCGACAGCTGCGGTACTCGATAGGGTTGACGCGCTGATAGTGAGGTGTGAAGGCTGCGGCTGTCTGGCCACAGGTCACCAGTTCATAGCGACAACTCCGAGATCCTCCATCGAGCTTGTGTTATCGCTCGATAGACGGAAGGTCCGATAAACGGCTGTTCGGAACTTGTAAATTTGCAAGCATATCTTGAAAATATCGTTAGCACGGTTCAGGATTTGCCGTAATTCTTCTATTCTCTAATAATTACCGCTACAAATATATTTCAAACTCTTACCGCCTTGGGCGATACGCATTCCTACCCCATGATCTGTAAGAGGAGTAAAATGTCCCTTCGGAACAAGGTGACACTTTACAAAACTTGCATAAGGCCCGTCATGACTTACGCGAGTGTGGTGTTCGCTCACGCGGCCCGCACACACATAGACACCCTCCAATCCCTACAATCTCGTTTTTGCAGGTTGGCCGTCGGGGCTCCGTGGTTCGTGAGGAATGTCGACTTAAACGATGACCTGGGTCTCGAATGAATAAAAAATGCATGAAATCAGCGTCGGAACGTTACTTCGATAAGGCAATGCGACATGATAATCACCTTATCGTTGCCGCCACTGAGTACTTACCCGAATCCTGATCACACCGCCTACTCGTCGAACTCGGCAAAGCCACCAACAATCCCTCATTCATAAAAAAAAAATCCCATTTACTTATTGCATACATCAATAGGAGAATAAAAGTAGTCCTTATTAGACAAATAGTTACGATTGACTATGTCGATGTCCATGACCAAGAGCGACCACTCGTGTAAACATAATTTAAACATCGGATTATGCAACGAAGAGACGTCAAGTACCGTAATAAGCAGCAAGGTACATAATGACAGGACGTAAGAAGGAAATCCTACTCGCCTCGTACACTCGCAGGTGGAAGCTTCGCAATCATTTCCGACTTGTCACTTGTGCCACATGTCATTACCAATTAATGAACTATTACGTAATTGGATTAACTCGACGCGCGAGGTGTTAATGGTTCACTTACATTGTCATTAATACTACCTCTTCATGTTCTTGAGAAGATAAATGTTCGTGACCAGTCCACGAGAGAAATAGTCTATAGTGTAGCATTTTCAGTAATTCTCAACTCTAGACATACTTTGGAATTAATTGAAAAACTTTATCTCGGATGCCATGATCTACTTGGAAATCACATTCTATTCGTTTTACTGGTGTTAGGACCTCTTGTGAGTCCGCACGGGTAGGTACCAACACCCCGCCTATTTTTGCCGTGAAGCAGTAATGCGTTTGGGTTTGAAGGGTGAGGCAGCCGTTGTAACTATACTGAGACCTTAGAACTTATATCTCAAGGTGGGTGGCGCATTTACATTGTAAATGTCTATGGGCTCCAGTAACCACTTAACACCAGGTGGGCTGTGAACTCGTCCACTCATCTAAGCAATAAAAAAAAATTAGTAACTTTGCTTTTACGAATCATGTTTATTCCTATCACTAACATTAACAACTATGTCAAAAAATGACTGTAGGCAGTGACAGGCTTTGTTGCTTAACATTAAATTACTGACTGCTATCTGTACAAATGGGAATACCCTTCCCACAGCGATGTGGCGATAATGTCGTTCACAACCAACTTCCAACAATAGGCGACTGTGCCGTATGTAGGTACTCGTACACATATCAGGTGTGGAGTCGGTCGGTATCAGCGTGTCGCAGCTGACCGGACGCGGCGACTTCAATGCACAGACTCTGAATAACGATAGGGATTTATAGTGTAGGTACCTACTGTTGAATGATTGTTAACGAACCTCAATATAGCTTGTGCAATTATTTGTGAGTTAGGTTAGGTTTGAATGTTGCACTGGAGCCGTGTTAGAAATGAGGTATAAAATTAATAACTGAGATCA